TCGAGTCTTGCAAAGCTCTGACTCGATGCGCTGAATTCATTACCTGATCTCTACCTTTATCCAACAGCCTAGATACTCGAGCATCTGTGGGTTGTGCTATTTTAGACAAGTAACCAACCTCTTTGTCTCCCGAGATGTTACCGTCCCAACTCGACGGATCCCATCCGTCATCCAACCTTGCAACATAAGCTCCGACTCGCTCCGGCGAAACATCACGCTTTTTCTTCCTAATTTTTTCCCTTTTAAGCCTGCATATTTGCCCGACTGCACCCTCGGCTACTTTAATCAACCACCGCTTATGTTTCTCCTGAACTTCCTCCACACACTTTTTCCATGCAGTCGCACAAACCCACATTCGGCGCTGCAAACCAGACACCGGCGCTTTCTTTCTCTTGAATTTTCCTTGCTTCAACCGGGACACCTGCTCCACCTCCCCCTCAGCTACCCTGCTCATTCTACCAAACTGAGCACCGAGCAACTGTATGTGCCTTTCATTCAACAAGCAGGTGGTCCTCACATTCTTGTTTGCTCCGTTGAGCCTGTAATTGCATTTTCTGACTTTCCTCATGCAGTTTTTTCCCCAGGCTACCGCACACATCCTCATATGACGCTGAAGTCCTGTCACTGGTGCCATCTTTCTGACCTCTATTGCCTGCAAAGTGGTCAAAACATCACCCGGACTATCTGCTTTCAGAAAAATTGTTCTAACAACTAAGATGGGCTTCTTCCCACCTCTCAAACACAACAAAAACAACTAAGATGGGCTTCTTCCCACCTCTCAAACACAACAAAAACAACTGGGATGGGACTTCTTCCCACCCCGGTACAACTTTTTTTCTGTTCCCCTCACGCCTCCTCAGGCGTCTGGATCAACTTTTTTCTCCGTTCAGCTCACGCCTCCTCAAGCGTCTGAATCAACTTTTTTCTGTTTTTAAACTCTCACACAAAGGCTTGGGGCGTCCCCCTCACCTCTTAAACACAAAACCAAACAAAGTTGGATAACTCTCCCAACCTGGCACGGACTCTTTGTCCAGATGCACTTGCATCAACTTAACACTTTTTTTTCCTTTTGTTTGAACATGGTGCAGCCGTTCAGAATTATTTATTTATTTTAATAATATCCCATCCTCGTCGCCAAAAATGTATTATGAAATTAGTTTAACAGGGGTTGTGAACGGTCGGCACCCGATGATTCACACGAGAGGAAATAAATCAGAGGAGACTGTTACTGCTAGAAATAATAGTGTCATTTATTAATCTGCCACAGAAAAACAGCCAAGCAAAAACATGTACACTCGTACACTCTTAACACACAAATTGATATGAAAGTCCCTCACCGTGACACGTGTTTGGGAAGCCCTTCGACCCGAGTGACAGGAATCACATCAAACTGCGCTGGGCACCAGCGCGCGTGGTCCGCAGCAAGACTTCGAGAGTTCCCTTGCCTGTCACACCTCCTGTATACCTCTCCCTGACCGGATCGCGTGAGAGCAGTGAAAAACAAGTTTGATGGTTGTCAGGAGGACAGTTCTCATTAAAACATGTTTTCCATCATCAAAGCAGTATGTGCAACAGAGCGATGGCTCATAAAAACATGTCCTTCCAGTAACGGAGCGCCGTGACCGCAAAGCGGGCCAAAGCTCTACGGCCAAAAGCACTCCTAATGCTTATTAAAGCATTCCTAGAGAGGATACACTGCCCCCTTCGTCCCTCTGCTAACCATCAAAGAGTGTCTAAATATTATAAGTAACACACACACAAAGTATATGTTTGAATAGGCATAAAGGCGACTTAACACCTTATAAAACATATTTTTATATCAGTCGGTTAGAACAAAAATAAGTTGCGAAGTGCTGAGACATCCTCTGCTTTAACCAAATAAGGACGACCGTTCCAAGATGGCGGCCGAAAATCCTGTGCCGCAGCAGCCAATAAGGGATCTAGTGATTATATATCTATGGTGTGAGGCAGCAATGACGTCACTCTCCTGCGCCGCTTGGAATTGCCAATTCAGATTGATTTTTGGAACACTTTTTGCAGGGGTGGGGCATGAAAACGAAAAAGCAGTTCGTTGTTAGTTTCCTCTGTAGCTGTGTTACACAATGAGCAGTCTTGAAGAAGAAAATGAAAATGATTTATTTTTAATTTTATTTATGAGTCAAAAAATGCAGCTTGACTTTGAAATGAAAAAGCATTTCTGCTATTTCATTTTAATTTTCAAATATGACATTTCAAAATGAATTGTGGTCACTTTTTACTGGGACATATTTTGAAAATTAAATGTTAAACGTTATTTTATTTATCATTTTAATTAATTAACACAGAGAGCAGTCTTGAAGAA